TGGGTTCTGATGAACTGCCTCTTTCTCTTGAGCCCACTCTAGAACCTACATTTCGTATTTAGATCTATAAGTGAACTGCTGGTTCGAGCTCTTCTGGTATATTCAATTTGAGGATGTTCCTGAATATACAGTCAAACAGGACGTAATGTTGTGAACTACTTCAATGACAGTTGTCCAGAAGTGCTCCCATTTTATTTACAAAAACCCAATGACTACAAGATTGTGCCGATGGATATGCCCTCGCTGTGCCAAATCTAATTTAGGCAAAATGTGCTGAGTGATTTACCTCTTGAGCATCTCATTAAATTTTCACATCTGTATGACTTCTGCCAGTGAAATATTTAAACCGTAAATATTGTATCTGAACTAACATTTGCATGACCAGGTTTCAGAACAATATGCCCAACTAATTCTGTTTTCGCCGCAAATTAGATCAGATCCCAGAGCAACTCTGAGTTAAAGAGAATTTGAGAGGTACTCAAATTAAAAACAGTCTTCCTCCTCAGTGTAAACACCCCATTAAGCAGCTGATGAATTTCGAGTAAATCATGTATGAAAATCTTATCTCTGAGACGGGAGTCGTCTTAGTTACGGACACGATACGCCTTTTAATAGAAACTAAGCGATCGATTCAGTCTCTCGTGGTGAATGAGGGGGACGACTCTATCTACGATGCAGGAAATATTATGTTTTGCTGTAGATAGAAAGAAGATTTATCACGATTTTGAAGATTTCCTGCAAAAAGATGATGCGCGATGCAAGTAGATGCGAGAAATGAAAGAAGATTTTTCAAAGATTTATTGACTGGGGTGAGATTTTTTGAGCATCTAGAATTGAGATTTAGATGTGTCGCCCCCCTCGGTGGTGATTAGGAGAACGTCAAAAAGAGTGTTGTGAGCAGAAATCTCTGCCGTGAGATATATAGGAAGGAGAACACTTTTTTACTATTCGTGATCAATTGATTCATCGGACATCTTCAGATCTATGGAAAATCGTAAAATACGACAATTACTGATGGAAATTGGCAAGATGTTCAATGAAAAATGCTTTGATTTGCGTTGCGAAAAATCCTTATTCTGATGTAAACAATCGGTTTGTTTGACGTTTCCTCTCGAACTAACCTGGCGCTCCCTACATTGGTGGTGCATTTAAAAGGCCTATCCGAGTGGGTTAGCCATGAAAATCTCACCTCAAAGAAGTCGCAGCGGTGATGGATTTGAAATTGCCTGACAAACTACACATATTTTCAAGTTTGTGACCAAAAACATATTTTTATTCGTGTTATAAAATAACACGTTTTTTCATTAATTGATAGCAGACACGAACATAAAAGTAAAGCTGGTCAGAATGGTAAGTAACATGTAATACAGTTAAGGGGTTGGCCACTCCGCACAGTGTGCCAAAAACACTGTTGGGCACACTCGTTGACACTGTTTGGCACCCATGGTTGGAAATTGTCATTATCTTTGAAGTTACTGGCAACACTGTGCTATCTCTGTGCCTGCCCAGTGCATGCGTCAAATTATTGTTGTTTACACAATTCAATTTTTGGATTCGTATAACCGTAACCGCTAACTTTCGGCCGAAACCAGCTACAAATTCCGCAAAACCGAGTTGGGTTCCCCCGCAGCATATCCTAATTCCTGTCTGAAGCAGTACACTATCAGAAAAAAGTTGGCGTAAAATAAGTGTGTGGAGTGACCACCCCTTATGGTCTCCAAAAAGGTCAATCGAAACCCCCAAGGGTTCTGGTTCTTTCTCACAAGGTCCTAGAATTTATTCCTCATTATCCCTGTGCTTGTCTCACAAGGCTTCAGAGCTTACCCCACAAAGCTTCTAGACTTGTTCCATTTATCCTCTAGAATATTCTAGTAAGAATTCCTGATTTGTTCCACAAGGCCTCGGCACCCGTGTCATAGGATCTCTGGACTTAACCTCAACAGCTCTTTAAGGGCCACCCACATTAGATCCGTATCTGATGCGTTGTGGAAAAGTTACACCTAAATCTATTGTCTAACTGTCAAATTTACGTCAACGCAACGAAAACGGATCTAATGTGGGTGGCCCTTTAGACTTGACCCATTAACCTCTGGTAATAATAAGGAATAAGGATAGTTTAGCATGGTTTTAGACGAACTAGCAAAAGAATTACTCTACAGTCTTTTGAAGGATTTATCAAGCCTTGTTTTTAACACTGCGTCCGCACGAGTATTTTTCTTAAGTGTCAATAAAGGCTCAAACGCAATGTGGGTGGAAGCGGAACGGAAGCGGAAAGATTGACAGATGCCTAAGCGAAGTCTATTTGGTTCTAACTACTTTTCAATCCGACAATCGTATGTTGGTCTTCAAGACGGCTGGTCATCAAGGCTACGAATCTCAATGAAGAGACTAGTTTCCATAACCGCTGATTTTCAGGACTACTGATCAAGGCCGCTGATCTTCGGAATCGTCAGTTTCCACAATCGCCGTTCTCCGTCTGAGACAGCTGGTCTTTATCCAAGTTCGTCCAAAAATGACTTCCTAGATAATTTGTTAAAGGTGGATGACCCTAGTGTAGTGTTGAACAGCCATAACTCTCACACCAAAGTCACGAGTTCAAATTTCACCCGGACAAGTCAGGAATGACTCATGACTCAGTGACCATAACAAAAAAATGTTGAAACCCTTTGCGAACATCTAAGCATCATAAACCTGTCCATTGCACCTTTATCAGCAACCATGAATTTGTCCAGGTCCCAGTTGAAGGACAATTATGAATGTTTCTGAAACTTCTGTTGCCGGTTTCTGCAGATTGTCAATTTAGTGACATAACAGGCCACCATTGAAAACGGTCACAAAAGTTTTCATGTTACTAGGTACGTAACTCCATTTGCAATCTCCTTCAATTATTCTTGCTACGAAATCTTCCGAATCTTTCAGTGCCATAGTAAACAGGAGTCTACATAGGGGAAATGGATGTAATGTGGTCCTAAATGTCCCTAATTTGGGCCCATACATAAATTCAGCAATCGACTAAATTGGATTATTCAGAGTTTTACATTTCGAAGATTTGAACACCTTTCCAGCTCTCTTTCTGAAGCTGCTTTCGATTTTCAAGCCAATTCTATTGAAGTGCGCGATTCTAAAAAAATCATGATTTTCTCAAAAGACTAATCTAATCGCTCTGAAGTTCTTACTAAAATTATATATTGAAGGGACCATCGAGATATGGAGAGAACAAGATATAGAACAATAACAGCCTAATGAATTGACTGTACTTTTGAATGCAATCTAAGCCCTGATCTGAGCCCATTTTAGTAAGCTCACAAAACAACAAACAACTCTGTTAGGTTTTCCTTCATGTTGATTTTGCTAGTTCAATCAGAGATCTTGTTTACATGAAATTTGACTTTTTTCATCGAGTCACTCATAATGAGTGTGTATGCTCAAAAAATGATCAGGACTGGAGCGTTAGGAGGTACAACTGGTGGAAATCCTCCAGTGGAAATTTTAACAAAAGTATCAAAATCGCTCTAATCATCATCGCTCTAAAAGATAGCAAGAAATGGGAGACAAAACAAACCCTGCAGAACTGTTAGAAATCAGGGTTGTTAATCGATAACGTCTTTTCGTTAACGTTTGCTATGGTAATTTCCCATTGCAGAAGTTAACGAAAAGACGTTATCGAGTTATCGATTAACAACGTTATTCAGAATGTTTGTGGGTACACGCTAAATTGAAAGTACCCATTAATGATTAAAAAAAGAACCATTTTGAAGAAAAGGGGCCTAACTCATTAATGACTAAATTTGTTTACCCACTAATGAGTATCTGTTATCCGTTAATGAGTAACAATTACTCATTAATTTGTAACATATACTATAATGGGTAATTAATACTCATATAATGAGTTAAGCCACTTTTCTTCAAAATGTGTCTTTTTCCCCCGTTAATGAGTACATTCATGTTAGCGTGTTCGCTTAAATTTAGATTATGCCTTGCACTATGCACTGTTAAATCTGTTGTGGGTCAGCTAGTTTGGTTTTGTCACATTGGCCCAGCTCCATCAAGTTCAAATTAATCGCATTTTTTGTGGTCTCTTTTGCCTTCTCTTCGCATCAGTTTCCATTTGGTGTTCGTGTTTCTTTTTTAAAGGGTAAGATTATGTCCATCATGTGTGTTAAAGTGTGCGCAACCTCATTCATTCGCTATAGCTTGCTATTTTACTATTGTTTGTGCTGATGCATCGTCATTCGTGAGTAAGTAGCAATAAATTATGGGTAAACTTTTAATTTAAAACGAACGAAAAATACTATTACTGTATTCAACTTAAGTAACTTCCTTTGTAAGTGTGTGTTTGTGTATGTGTCTATTGTGTTTGTTTCTGAGTGGATGGTCTCCGTTTGTCTCACTAATGTGTATTGGTAATCATCGGTTTTCTCGGCTATTTGCGATTGTTTGTGCGTGTATTTGTTTTATACTAAATTTTGATTTCATTTGTTCTTGTCCTACAGTTCGAAAAAAAAAAAAAAACAAAAGACTCTTAAACATTAAATATTGCTTCGTATAGAAAATAAAAATTGAAAATTTCCCGAAAATTTAGCGTCACATTTCCATTGACGATTCTATTTTAAAACGAAAAACAATAACAAACTAAAGAACGCTACTCGCGGCGCAAAGGGAATTGCCGTCATGAAAAACTTTGTCTTTTTGCTACGTTTTTTTTTATGGGACATTTATGTTTGGAGTTTGTGAATGTGTTGGTATGTCTATTTTAAATCGTAGTAGTAAGGGCGTATACACGAGTATCCAAAAAACGAACAGCGTTGGCGTCTTTTTCTTTTCTTTTTTTTTTACAGGTTGTTGTGGATGTTGTTTGCTATGGGAATACAATCCAAGCTTACTTGGATGGGAATAATGGAAAAACAATATTTACACGAATAGCGTTCCGTTTTCGTGTGCGTGCGTTGATTTTTGCCTTTGTTCAACAATTGCAAAAAAAAGTTAGGTTATGTGCTGTGTTTCTTTGTTGCTTTGTTATCACAATGTCAATTCAAAAATTTAAACGTCTATCTTACAAACGGGTGGTGTACATTTCCAGCCGGTAGCAGCAGTAGTAGTAGTAGTAGTAGTAGTATCGGTCCAGATCCTCCAGGAGCTGGTATCATTCGTGGAGGTTCTTGCTCAGTAGTAGATTGTTATGATGCCCGGACAGATGTCGCACCAGCTCCTGTAGCGTCTCGAAGTACAGCGTACAGAAGCAGCAGGTATACCGGCCGCCCGCTTCCGGCGCGTTGATGATGTTCCGATGCACCGAACAGAGATGCTTCAGCAGGTGAGCCTTCTGTTTGAACATCGCCACGCATAACCGGCAGGCGAATGGTTTCTCGCCGGTATGCACCCGCAGATGCGTCTTCAGGTTCCAACTCATACCGAATGTCTTACCACAGTACTCGCAGCGGTACTCCCGGACGGCAGTGTTGCCGCCCATGCTGCCTCCACCTCCGCCTCCTGCATTTCCCGATCCGGGACCATTGCCTCCGCTGTTGCCACTACTTCCGGAGCGGGCATTCAGTTCGGCTTGGCTGTTCTCGAAGTTTTTCATCTGCTGGATCAGTTCTGCCGGACTGGTTTCCGCATTTGGACCACCGTGGACGTACGGAATGCCGAGCAGTTCGCCGGGGCCACCTGGAAGACCAGCCAGGGCAGCCGTCGGCCATGGGTACACGAAGGGGGCGACCGCCAGCTTGTTGTCCGCACTGGGTGGTCGTATCCGGTTGTTGTTGTTATTGTGGTTGTTCGCCAGAGCAATGTCGGTGGGCCGGCCAGAGTTCGGTGAACCCGGTCGCATATCTGTCAGGGGGTCAGTAGGTAGGTTTTTAGTGCTGGAAAACTGTATTGAGCCGGGGTAGCAGAACTTACCAGGCAGGTACGTTGGAGCGGACAGGAAGCACTTTCGCGTCCTCAGGTCATCCGGGCTCAGGTAGCTCGGAACGAAGGGCGGATTCTGGGCAGGGGAGTTGTGGAAACCGGGCCGACGCTTCCGGTGCGGCGTCACCATCAGGTTGTCCGGCGAGTTGTGGAGCAGCTCGTGCTCGAGCGGCTTGCACTGTTCCGGATCCGTATGGATGAAGTACGCTTTCCGTTTGCTGCGGAACGGGTCCAGGTACCGGGGTAGTAGATTCTGGAAAGGGGAAACATTAATTATCAACTGTGGCGTCATCGAAAAGTAAAAAATATTGCTTCCAATGGATACAAGTCAGCGAAACTGTGTCTTTGGAAACTGAAATGATTGTAAACATGACCCTAAATTAGGGTTTCAAAGTTGTTGAAGACCGCTAGTCTCCATGATAGTATTGGCTTTAAAAATCACAGGTTTCGAAGACCGCCCATAGTGAATATTTTTTATCTCGTTGACCAAGACCATTGCACAGTGGTCCAGAAGCTGTATTTAGGTGGAATCAGAGGCGTCACCCTAACCTCAATATACCTGTTCAACAGCTCTCAAACTGTAAACAATTAAAAATATATTGTTTTAAATCGATAAAAATCAGTGAAATTACAAGATGCATTTTGGGACCGATTTGAATATAGATATGGCTCTAAATTACGTTTTCAAACTTGTTGAACAGGTAAAAAGTGAGGTTAAGCGACGCCACTGGGTGGAATGCATTATTTATGCCTTAATCATTATTTTTAGGTACATAGTGTCATCGGGAAAGTTTTTAATTTATGTTGGCCAATATTTTTATTTGCAGGACATTACGGTGGTCCATACAGTTGATGAGTTCTAAATTTTAGATAAACCTGCGTAATGTTCAACAGATTGTAGAACAAGTTATTTGAAACAACTTTGCTCAAGGAAGCGATTGTCCATCTCTAATGGTTCACGATTTATACTGATTTTTAATAAGTGACTTAGGGTGACCCCTAAAAAATCGATTTTTGAACAGTTACTTTTTATACATTGTTTTCTCGTAAAATAACTGTTCTCGATTTTAAGACACAATCATTTGAAAAAAAAAACCGTATTTTTAAGTTAATAGTTAAAAACTTTTCAACTAATTGAGTTAGCAACAAAGTTGCTTGGACCAACCGATTTTTAGGGGCCACCCTAAGTTACTTATTAAACCATTAGAGCAGCGTTTCTCAATCTATGGATCGCGAGCTGCCCATAGGTGGGTCGCAAGAATTCATTTTTTTTTTTTAAATTATTTGGAATCAAACCTGAGCCGAACCTTACACCTATGTGTAAATGCTTATAACGGTTTAAATTGAGAATTAATAATAAAATATCAACTCACCTTGGCGGGTGCATTTCCTATCGTTTCCACGTCGATGTTCGCATCGTCCGAGTCGGCATCCTGTGTTTTCACAATCGACAAGTTCACCGGATCCGACGAACTTCGCCTCCTATTTCCAATCGCTTCACCGCCACACCGTTCCCGACCGCCTTCCGTGCTGTCGCCTTCCTCCCCTTCGCGATCCTCCACATCCAGCTCGTAGTCCTCGTCCTCCTCCGGATCCCGTTCACCACTCCCACTTCGCCGTCCACCGCCGATGCTCCCGCTCAGATTCGTGGGCGTTGGCCGATCTGTACTTTCGCCGGCCACCGACCCGGACCGACCTCGATCGCCACCGCAGCCGCCTTCACTTCCGTCGTTCCCGCTCCCACCGCCGGCGTCGTCGTCCCCGTCGTGTCGACTGATCTGATGGTGCTGCAGGTTGTTGTTGCTTTTGATGATCGCTTCGTCCACCTCGTCCATGTATTCGCCTTCTTCGCGATCACCTTCCTCACTACTTCCGGAATTTCGCTCACTTTTGACACTGACCTTCTGACTCGCTGGATCGGCGACGTACGACTCTTGGCTCTTGGATCTCCGCCGCGGGTGATGGCTCGATGCAATGCCCTCATTTCGGTTGATGTCCACTTGTGGTTCCGACTTGTGGGATTCTACAAAGGAAAATTGATCAATCGTTAGCTCATGATGACTCCGCACGTTGCGGTCTTACCACTGTCGTTGGACTCCTCGCCGTTCTTCCATATGCTGGCCTTAATTTGTAGCAGCGCTAGCAGATCCTGCAGGTGATGGTACTCCTCCACGGATCGCACGTATACCTGTCCGGAGTACAGAAAGTCCAGCAGTAGCCGGAAGTAGCACACCTGAACGTCCGGAAAGTATACCGTGGTGATGCCATCCAGGATGGGTGTGTCCTCCAGGATCATTCTGGTAAAGGAAGAAAGCAAATCATTATTGGACGTTGGTCCTGGGATCGATCGAGTTGCACAATGTTTGGACCTGATTAGTGGACTGGCCGCGGCCAGTACCAGCTTGTGTGCACGGACTGTCTCTTTGCCATCGCAGATCAGCAGAAGGTCTGTTGCATGCTCGCCCCGGAATGCTGCACCGATTTCCTGGAGTATGCATTCGCCGTGTTTGCTATATTGCAGCATCAGCATCCTAACTGGAATTGGAAAGGGGGAGAAAAAGAGACAGCCGATTAGTTGTGCGGTAAATCACCGGTTTGCGTGGAGAAAAAAAAAATAGTTACTTCAAGCTCGGAACGGGAATGACGGGAGCACGCAAAACACCGCCAGCCGCAGGGCTTTCCCCGTAATAGTGGTTGCGACTTGGAATTGGTAATGACACAAATTAGTTCTAATTGCGGTCACGACTTTGGCACGCTGGCTGTTCGCGATCGTTAGTCATTTTTAGAAAAGTTGCACCACTTATGACGTCAGGTTGGACTTTCTTGAAAGTTAGTTCACACACGTGTGCACTGCCAAGGTGGATTTGCATAATTTTCTGAAGGTGAATGTTGGAATTTACGTGAGTAATTTTACCTTAATCACGGTGGGTGTGTAAATTAAGCTTGCAAAATTTAATAGTAATAGTTTGCTCGGCTTTCTCTCTTATTTTGAATGAAGTGAGATAAATTGGTGATCAATTTTTGAAGTGGCTGATTCAGGTTCAGGAGGTCATGTACACGCGAATCAAACGGCAAATACATCAAATCTTCCCATCAACACATCAACTATCACATACCTAATTGTAGCAAAAAGGGAACGAAATGTTAGGTTGGACTTAGACCAACTGTACCATTGGACTCAGTTTTAATTTAGGAAAGCGCCACTAGAAGAATTCCAGTTTCATGTAACTATTGACGAGCACTCGATGGTTTACATAAGAAGACGGCAGCATGGATTTTTCCACTGGTCTATGCAGGTTTAGGTTAATTAAAGAGCCACATGTGAAAAGGGCCTGTATGTCAAATGTAAAGTGACTTATGACTCATTCAGACGAACAGACACCAGTTTGCTTTAATCAGCTTTCATGTACATACGATTTTTCTTCACCAAATGTTAGTTTGGGTGCTAAATTGGTTGGTTTCAGGCTCAATCGAATAAACTTTATAGAGCCAAGCTATCATTTTCTTTATACATTATAAATGTCTTAAATTTAAAATTTAAAGATTTGACCGATTACGCGTGGTCTTCTCGAGGTTAGTGGATGACAATTGTTAGGATCGGGAGAAGGAATATGGAAAATTAACATTGAATAATTAAAATTTCTACCGACACAATATTTTAAAATGAACCGATTTGTGAGAGGACCCAAACTAACTTTTGGCGTAGAAAACCCCGATGTACATGAAAGTTGATTAATCTAATATTTCGTACACACGTGCAGCGTTATAGTACAAAAATGCACCGTTTGGCGGCAGTAGTGTCCATTGAACAAGTGAAATAGTTAAACGAAGTTGAAATTTAATGAATTTCTTTTTGCATGGTTAAGAGATGAACTAGCCTATGGCTAAAAATCTCTCTAATAAAAAAAAAAAACTTTTGCATGGTCAGTGATTATTGAACTGCACCATATGATGGTGGTTTTGCAAGTAAATATACTTAGTTAGGAAAAAATCCAAATCTGAGAAGTTGTAATTTTTTTGCAAAAATATCTTGGTCAAGGTTCTTTTTTAATACCCGGTGTTAAAAAACCTCTCCCACGAGGCTACTCGCCCTCTTCAACGACCTATGGCGCACTGACTCGTATCCGGACCTCTGGAAACAAAGCCTAGTAGTGCCCATTCCGAAGAACAACGCGGCGAGTGGAGAAGCCTCCTCTTTTAGGCCAATTGCGCTCACTTGCTGCGCGGCAAAAGTGATGGAGAGAATGGTAAATCGTCGACTTAGGCAGTTCCTGGAGTCTAACAGTCTCCTTGACGAACGGCAGCATGCATTCCGGCAAGGACATGGCTCCTCCACTTACTTTGCAGCCCTCGGGAATATACTCAAGGAAGCCCAGGACAACGGTCACCATGCGGAGTTAGTATCCCTTGATATATCAAAGGCGTTCAACAGGACGTGGACGCCCGGCGTCATCAGGCAGCTCATCGGCTGGGGCCTGAAAGGCCACATCACGCACTTTGTACGGAATTTCCTCCTTGATCGTACCTTCCAGGTGACTGTCGGGAACACTCAATCGGATCCGTTCCCCGAGGAAACTGGAGTGCCCCAGGGATCCGTCATAGCGGTTACGCTATTCCTGGTGGCAATAAAAGGGGTGTTCAGCCGACTGCCCAAGAACGTGCACGTAATCGTCTATGCCGATGACATACTCATCGTCGTAACGGGACGAACGACTAAACGTACCAGGAATATTGCCCAAGCAGCTGTCTCCGCCGTCAGCAGGTGGGCGCTTTCTGTTGGTTTCCAGTTCTCCGCTCCAAAGAGTGTACGGTGCCATATCTGCCACTCGGGCCATCTGATTCGGGAACCACCGATCACCATCCAGGACCATCCAATTCCGCTTAAGAAAACAGTACGTGTTCTGGGGGTAATTCTGGATCGGACTCTAAGTTTCGACCAGCACTTCAGAACGGTGAAAGAAAACTGTCGTAGCCGCATCAACATCGTCAGGACAATCTCCCGCCCGCACCGCTCCAGTAACCGCGAGATCCGCCTTCGTGTCGCCCGGGCTGTTATCGACAGTCGACTTTTCTACGGCATTGAAATTACCTGCTTAGCCACCGAGAAGCTGAACCGCATCCTCGCTCCGGTATACAATACCTACGTACGCATCGTATCCGGCCTTCTACCTTCTACGCCTGCAGACGCTGCTTGTGCGGAAATCGGAGTCCTCCCTTTCCGCTATCGATCTGCTGCAGCTACTGCTACAGCCACTGCCCTCGCTGCTAAGACATCCGAGAATGATAGGGTCTTTCTCCTCAACGAGGGAAACAGAGCCCTCCGCACTGCAGCCAACCTTGACCTCCCCCCGGTGGCCAGGGTCCACTGGCATGGAGAGAAAACGTTATCAAAATAGATAAGCGGATTAAGAGAGGATTCCAAGCCGGAGATAACTCTGTAGCGTTGAGGCGTTCAGTTGCAGAACTTCTTGGGTCGGTCTATCCGGGGCACGTTCATCGCTTTACGGACGGATCGCGATCACGGGCTGGAGTGGGACTCGGACTGGCAGGACCAAACTCCGCAACAAGACAAAGTCTACCGGAGGAGTGTTCCGTTTTTTCCGCAGAAGCCACTGCTATTCTTGATGCAGCCATCACTCCTGCAGATCAACCGATCCTTGTGCTAACGGACTCACACAGCGTCATCCAGGCGCTGGAAGCCGAAGCCCCGAGCCACCCCTGGATACAAGCCATTACACGATATGCCCCACCCTCAACCGTTTTTAGGTGGATTCCCGGGCACTGCGGTGTTCCTGGAAATGAGGCTGCGGATAGGCTGGCGGGATCCGGTCCATCTGGTCCCCGCTTCACCAGGAACATACCACTCCTAGACGTCAAGCGTTGGATCGCGAATATTATCATGGAAGCCTGGCAGGAGGAATGGTTTCAGTCGCGGACCACTTTCCTGAGAAAGATCAAAGAAACCGTACGACCCTGGCTAGACAGCCACAAGTACAAGAACCAACGGATCATTTCAAGACTCCGGACCGGCCATGCGAGGATTTCCCACAATTTTGGTGGGACACCCTTCCACAAGGTTTGTCCAATCTGCAGCATCCCTGCCTCGGTGGAACACGTGCTGTGTGTCTGCCCAGAGTTTCAAAGGCTACGCGAACAACACCGACTCCCAGAGAACATCAGGGAGCTACTTGGCAACGACCCCTCGACGCTGGCTGCGCTGATTGTTTTCTTGAAGGACGCTCACCTGTACAACCAAATCTAGCACTCTCGTCGTTGGCTGCGCTGTCCGTGTTCTTTCACTTTCCTATTTTCCTACCGTCGGGGTATCTCTGCCGGACTGGGGCACTGTCTCTTACGGTGGAGCTCTACCTTGTTCGCGCATCCATTCCTCACCACAGTCCCGATGTAACTCCCATTTTACATTAAGTTTTTTTTTTTAAATGTTGTCTCAGAACCAGTTTTACGTTACGTTAATGTTAGACTGAAACGTTTCCTTAGAGGCAGGCCATAAGCCTGACCTTCTACTATCAAATGTGATGAACTAGCCTACGGCTAAAAATCACAAAAATAAAAAAAATCTTTCAAATAATCAAGTCCAAGAATTTTAAATCCTGTTAAATTATCTGGATTTTGATGATTTGTATCTTTCAAATAATGGTTTAAGGATTCCATAAATGTAATCTTGAAAATTATTATTAGGTAATCAAATATTAATTTTATTAATTCAATAATCAAATGCATTGTCTATTTCCTCACTCTGTACTGATTTTTCTGACTCGATTTATGACAACAAACAATTTATTAAGATGATTTTAAATTCCGATCGCGAATTGGTGTAATTGGCGAAAAATTGAGGCACAGAGAAAATTGTTCTGAGTCTCGGACTTGAACAAATTTTGAAAAATTTTTAGACAATCATATAAATAGATAACAGTCTAAGAAAAATAAATATATTAAATTCTGGAATGAGGAAAATTTGCCAAGATGGAGAGATCGCTGACATAGAACATTTTGCTTGCCTCTTGGACTTAAAATCTCGATCTGGGATATAATTTAGAGATTTTGAACCAATTTATTAATGCTGGAACTTAATAACTCTAGATCTCTATGACAAAAAAAAATTAAGAAAATTGTGCAGCTTGGAAAATTCATTGTATTTTGAATACATTTAAAGTAAGTACAAAGTCCTAGAAAAATTTATATGCATCTGAAACGTAAATATGGCATTTTTTTAATTCCATTTTACAAGTCCGGAAAAAGTACAATACAAGCCCATTAAGCTAAGAAACGAAGTCAAGATTCTGCGACACGATTTTTGCTCGATGTTTGAACCAATAACTACTTTTAAAATTCTAATCTTGGAAAAATGTCCAGAGCAAGAAAATTTTCCTACACCATTTTTCGAAATCTAAGGCTTGGAAAACTTTCAAGAGCACGATGTAAAAACGCCAGGATTTTGGGCCAGATTTTTTTTTTCGAGACATTTTGGGATCACAGGCAAGGGGAAAAAATTAAAAATTTATAATCTGGTTCGG